GGCATTTGTTTTATACTAAAATATCTGAATTACTTTGAATAAAGCTGGAAATTATGTCCTTAAAATAATTAAACAAATAAGGCACAAATGTTTTTGTAAGATATGTACATCTTTAAAGGACATTCCGTAGACTGTTAGTTCAACCCCAAAACTTGTTTGTATTCAAAATTAATTATGACAATGCATATTTATATTGAAACAAACTATGTTAAAGGGAATTATATTATATAACAAAGGGCAAGGTCACCAGAGTTCAACTATGTTTGGTACGTTACTCGCACCTGTAATAGACGAGCATAATATTACTGTCGCATGTCCTTCGTCTTAGCCACACAACCGCTGCAGTCCGCTTCATGTATGTAACATCGAATATTTAGTTTGATGATTGATAAACATTTATTCACCGTTGCTTTCATGTTTTATTTTGTCATATCTCACAACTGAACGCCCAAGCTGACTTTGTTTTGGCTGTATGTTCAAACTATATACATGTACTATAAAGAAAACTATATATCTTAAATTTGATAACTAACTGGGACTGTGCCATGCATGGCTCGTTAAATATAAACCTGTTCTTTAAATTACATTATAAGTAATTACTGGTACAAATAATTGTAAAAACAACATATTATGAACCCCATTATTGACCCTATCCTTAAAAAAATATGTTGATCTAATTTTAGACTAGACAACTTAAAATGTTCTACCCCAAATGACAGCACATCCACATAATTCAAAAAGTATGGACCTTGTCCTGGTCACGCGAGTTTTGTCCATCATCAAGGTTGAGGGCGCTCTTATTATTAGCATATCTTCTGAAGCATATCCTCGGGGGCGAAGCTACGCCACAAGACGTTCCACGTTGCTACGACGCGCACCACTGTACATGCATTTCTATGGGCTCTGTGCGTGCTGCTGTGGAACACCGGTCGAGCCCGTGGAAAATTTGAAAAAACAACACAAACTCAACTTTGAAGTAATCCCGAACAACTAAATTTATATATGTTACACAAGTAGGGCTAATCTTGTTACACTGTTCAGAGGAGTCTCAACAACCATCCCAAAGTATCGTTTTCTGCAAGTTTTTGGCCTTTGTTTTCACCGCCGCTGGTTGCCAGGCGGTGAAAATGCCCAGATATCCGCCCCCGAGGATACTGAGTATATCAGTACAGATATAGAAGATTGGACTGACTATGTTGCTATTTACAATATTCCATTACGTACACAGAAATTAATTGTAACAAGTTTAGGGAAATTATGATGAACTAATTTTACCTAGTATATCATGGTAGAGCAGTGTAAGGATTTTCTATATCTGTATTCTATGTAATAATAATCATGGCCATCTGATTGGTTCATACAAGCAGATTGACCTTTTGACAATATGGCTGACTCTCCCAAAATACAACATTATCTTGAGATGTTGGTCGTTTTACATACTATTTCTTTAATTATTATTAAATTTATTATGTTAGAAACACTTCTGTTATTATTACTCATGAGATATGCTCTATTTAAGCATTATTTTTCATTACATTACAAATTCATAACATGCGATAAATGTAACATTCACCACCAGGAGTTTTCACTACTCATACTTTTACCACACCAAATGTGGTGATAACATGTAATTGTAATAATAATAATATGAGGTTATTATGCACGAAGACAGTACAGCTGGAGTATTATTGCATACTTTAAGGTATCCTCGTAATAGCCTTATTATTATACATCATGGGAATGCCGAAATCCAAAAATTTAGAACAGAATCAGCAAACTTCTTTGTGTGGAGTCCGACCAAACCCTGGTGGCAGCCATGTTTGTTTTTATTGTTAGAGAATGCTTGTACGCGTGATCATTTCATATTTGGAATTCGCATTTCCTTATATGCTAGGATGAAAATACCCCGTTAAATACCGCAAAATTACAGCACTATGTAACTTATGGTGTTACGGTGATAGATGTATAATAGTAATCTTTATTACATTCATATCTCTATTAGTATGTTGACTGTAGCGCAATACATGTATGAACAAAAGAATTACCGGAACATTCAAATATAAAAGTGAAAAAATAATTTAGTTTAGGATATTTCTGTTTGTGAAACATTTCCAGGTCACTAATGAATGTATAGTACATGCCCTTAGTTTGAGGCAGTTGACTTTGATGTTTTTCCTTCCCAGCTTTTATGTAGTTTGCTATTTGTAATATTTCTTTCTGGTAGATTAAATCTGTCTTATTATATCTTTAAATTTTGATTTGTAATAGGCACTTACCCTTAATTGGCGATCTGCTCCGCTAGGATTGCCCTTATAATCACTTTTGCGGGTTTGTGTGTGTCTGTGTGATTTCCAGTGTTTTCACCTATTATTTTTTCTGTGATTTTTTTGGCTCTGCCGATTTCGCTCAAACTTGGCGGGTAGGTCACACCTTCACCCTAGTTATTAGGAAAAATCTGTAAAAAAAAATTTGGCCCACCGTTGCCATAGCAGTAGCCAACAAATATTTTTTTTATAGCTTCGCGCCAAATGTATCTTCTCCTACAAATTTGGGATAAACCACCTCAGACATACAGGTAGCTCATTCTACTCAGCTTGAGTGTGGGCACAAAGTTACTATTTGAATTTTTGATATTCTTTTTCACCAAGAAATTTGACCCCAAAGTTGGGGTAACTGTTCAAAAGGAATTGCTTTTTAACTCTTGGTTCAAACTTGGCAGGCAAGTCACACCTTCATTCTAGTTAGGCTGTAAAATCTAAAAACAAATTCTGGCCCACCGTTTCTATAGCAACAGCTAAAAAGTCGTTAAGAATATATTTTAAGTCAGGGACCCAATTGTAGATATCAGAGTTGTCCAGAAACATAATTTTATGTCTATGGTATCTAGTATTTTGTAGAATAAGATAATGCACTGTTGTTTGTAAACAAATAAATGAATAAATAGACAATATATCATGGAAAACCTGAACTTATTTTAGATTGTTCATCTTCCCCTCAGGTTATGTGGATGTGGGATCTCTGCCAGACATGGAGAAGCTGAAAGCCATCAACATCGTAGGTGCTGAGAATGTTCTGAAAGCTTGCATTGATAATCATGTTACTCGACTTGTGTACACCAGTACACAAGACGTTGTTCTTGGCATGGAACCCATTGAGAATGCAGATGAGAGCAGTGTTGGCATACCAAACACATTTTTGTACGAAGGATACGCTGGTACAAAGTATGAAGCTGAGAAAATCATTCTCAAAGCCAATAGCTTAATACTTGAGAATGGTAGAAAATTGAAGACATGCTCACTTCGTCCGACAACCATGTATGGGGAAGGTGATATCTATTTCTTGCCACCTACATTGAAAGCCAGCAAACAGCAAGGTGGTGTACTGATGAGGATTGGTGATGGGAAAGCTCTATTCCATGCTTCGTATGTCGGCAATGTCGCCTGGGCTCACATCCTGGCACTGCAGCAATTGAAAAGACAAAGAAGTGAGGATGACATTTCTGGGCAGGCATGTTTCATTTCCGACGACACTGAACCAATGAATCTGTTTGATTTCATGGAGCCGTTTCTCCAAGCCCGAGGATTTCGTTTATCCCGGTATCACATTCCATACTGGTTTATGTACATCGTAGCTTTTATTGTTGAGTTCTTGGCGTGGTTTTTGCAGCCTTTCAGTAAGATCAATTTCCCCATCAATCGAAATGTACTTCATCATATGTGCACATCATGTTATTTCAGTTACCATGGTGCTAAAAGATACTTGAACTATTCGCCTCTTTTTTCTGTCGAAGAATCGATGGAGAGAACAGTCCGATATGTGAAGCGTCTTCGACTTTAAATTACGTTTCATTTTAAAATAATTTTACAAATCATGTACCTGATAGCCCTGTAGTACAAATACAGTATATCTTGTATTTGTTTTATTTTGTTATATTGTATACATCTTTTTCTCATGTACATTTAATGTATTGTAACTAATATTGATTGGGTAATTGGACATATGCTTGTGTGACCCCTGAAGGTCGTATATCTTGATCCCCTTATGGGCTGGGAGTGGGACAATGCATTGAGGTTGATTATTGCTGTAATGGGAGAAACTAGCAAAGATTGTACCAATATGTGTGAACTCATGCATGACCACCAAAGTACATGTATTTGCCTATGTCTATATAATGTTTATAAGAGTAAGATTTTTTCTACATTTTATAAATGCTACTTAACTTTTACTGCCAAATTAAATTTCCATTTTACTCACAAAGATATTTCTTAAATAAGTAATTGAAGTTGAAATCTTGATTTAAAGTGCTTATCAGTTATTTTACGATGATGCAAAGAATCTTTACTGTGCAAATAAATTGAATGTGAAAATGTATCAATATAAATTTCAACTAATAAATATTTGGTATTGTATTCACACTAATATTGTAATAATGTTTCTGAAATAACCATAAATTAAACTTTTCATGGAAAGTTTTGGTATTTTGACTGTCATACATACATGTTTTATTAGTCCCCGTTGGGACAAAGTCAAAAAACGGGGACTTATAATTCAGTCTTCGTCAGTCCGTCCGTCCGTCCGTCCGTGCGTGCGTGCGTCCGTCTGTCCGTCCGGAGTCATATCTCAGAATCCCTTACACCGATTCCGTTCATTCTTTGCATGTGCCTAGTACTTTATATAGGACATATGCACATGTAGTGGTTTAGCGATTTGATTCAAAATGGCCGGCTGGCAGCCATCTTGTATACATGTTAGGATACATGTCCATGACGATTTATTTCGCAATTGGATCAAAGATGGTCGACTGGCAGGCATCTTTTTATTTTTTATGCCGTATCTTCGACGTGCTCTATCAGTTTTCATTCAAAGTTGGGACATACATGTACTTTATACATGTTAGGATGCATCATGTCTGTGACAATTTGTTTCAAAATCTGGTCAAGGATGGCCGATTGACAGCCATCTGACTTTTTGACCGTACTACTATATTTCCACAATTTATGTACCATTTTTAGTTCCCGTTCAGACGGTAGTCCGAAACGGGAAGTAGTGTTTTTGGTTGTGTGCATGCGTGCGTGTGTGCGTGCGTGCATGCATGCGTGTGCGGTCATATTTCAGACATGCTTTGACGGATTCTCTTCAAATTTGGTACACATACATGTCATGAAGGTATACATATGCGCATGAATTTGTTTTGTGATTAGATCATTTTTGACCGTTTGGCAGCTATTTTAGACCCCAAAATGTGCAGATTCTGATTAAGATTACATGCATCTAATACAAAGTTGTTTTTATGTTGTTAAATTAATGTCAATAAAGTTCTATTATTATGTTGGTTTGTCAGAATGTTACCTTTATTTGTTTTTTGTTTGATATCTTGATTTGAAAATGATTGCAATAAAGATTATCAATATTTTTACTACGTACCTGGACCCTGCCTTTCCCCTACATTGTATTATCGTTCAGGCAATGTGTTCCAGTGTTGCATCTTGGGAGAAGATTCGCTTAAGATAAGATAAGATAACTTTATTGACATTATTCTTTCTATAGAAGATGAACATAGTCAAGTGAAATAAAAAAAACAAGTAAAAAGGATAATCAAAAAATTAAAATAACAGATTAATTAAAAGGCAATTAAAAGGTAGTGCAGAATCAGGTGTTTTATTAATACACACCTGTTTGCATTATAAACACACCAAGCTTAATGTGGCAGTTTGTCATAATGTAAATAAATTTATCTGGATGATCCATTGAAGTAAAATTAGGATTATCCTTATGTAAGTCTGTAAAAAGTATCTGCCTCATTTTATTGTGCTGTGGGCAGTCCATAA